CAGCGGCAGCCCCACCACCCCCACCTCCACCTCACACACTCACTGGCCCTTGCGCGATGGCACGCCGGCATGTTGGCATGGGAACGCCAAGCCCGGCACGGTAGCGGCGGCTGACTGAGTAATGGCACAGCCGACCGCCGCGGCAGGCCACTTTGCACTCCTGCCTGCAATGCATGCACCCTTACATGTGCAGCCTTCTGGTATTTTCATGTGCCTGGGAGATGTGCGGGCATGGGGGCCCATGTGCCCCATGCCATTTGAGTGCCCGGCGGCGGCGCTGCCTGCCGCCGGGAGCCCGCACCAGCATCGGCACCCGTCGGCCTGGCAGGCCTAAGCTGCTAAGGATCCCCACGTCCCCCACCACGTTGTGGGGGTTGCGTGTCCGGCAGGACGGGGAGCGGGGCCAGGGTGGGGTGACCCTGGGACGCTCAGCTGGGGGGAGGGTGGTCGGAGCCATGGAGAGGGTGCTCCATGGTCCACCCCCTCTCTTGATGCCCCTTGATCACGTGTGCCCCCTGCCCAAGGTCTGCTCACGCGGCCTATCATAGCGGGGTGACTGTAACACCTGGGTAACCCAAGCTTAAGTTGCCTCTGCCTGATCTAGGCGTCAGGCAAGTTCTGCATGACCGTGCCAAGGCAGGGGCGCGGCTACTGCCTGCAGGGCTAAGCTCCCCTGCCGTAGCCGCAGCTGACCCGGAAGCCGGCCGTGCATCGAGTGGCTCATGTTTCCGTCGCTCTAAAACAAAACGCTAAGGCCCGGGCAAGAGTGACTCCGACATCCTTTGGATTGCAGGAGGAAGGAGAGCGGGTCCCACCAGCAGGCATGCACACCTGCCGCCCCGCCGCCCTGGCAGGTGTGTCCGGCACCTGTGTCGCGGCGACGCTCCTCCGGCTGCAGGCAGCCGCAAGCGCAGGCACGCTCTGCCACTTGAGTTCCATCACACTGCTACTTGGGCCGCGGCTAAGAAAGGCCTTCTTTGAAGGCGCTGGAGCTAGTGTCTAAACCCTCCGAGAGGGCACAGGTTCGATTCCTCCCATGTCGAAACTTTGTGAGGACAAACGCGGCATAGCTGACCGGCTCAGCGCCAATCCAAGCCAATTCCTTCGGGAACGCCTAATAGAATCGCCAAGGCTTCGGCACAGGCCTCCCCGGGACCCATTCACTACTAGTGGGGGGTACTGCACTTGGCGCGTCGGGCAGATCAAATAATGGTCTAAAGCTAGACGTTAAAACCGGGAAGTTAAACCCGTGGAGGCTCTTCCCCCCCCTTACCTTTTCCCTTTTACTCCTTGCCTACCTCTGCAAGCTTCTTCTTGGTGCTGGCCGCCGCGCTGCAAGGAGCTCATGCTTAGAGGTAGCTGCTGCCCGGGAGGAGCTGCACCTTTTTCCTGTTCCCGAATGTGGGCTGCTTGCGCCAGGCTGCTTGGGCCAACTGCTGCTGCCTGCCTCCCTGCGCAGCGAAGTTACTGTTTTTCAATATGCCGTGGCCCCCCCCGGCCCTGGGAACGGGAAGCGCCCCTTGGGGGACCCTGACGGCTCGGCGTGTGGCCTCACGTTTGTGTCGGGTCCTGCCGCCGCCCTCCTGACCGGGGCCACTTTCCACCTTGTCACTATCTCCCCTCCAACTGGCGGGACTTTTGAAGCCAGGCTCTACCAGTTGGAGTCCGGCGCACACGTGCCCGCCAGTGGGGCACAACCGCTAGCCACTTCTCCCAGCATCAGCCTGCAGTTCAACCCTGTGGCCGCTACCGATGCGTTTTACAGGACCGATGCGACTGTGCACAGGGCCGTGGCCACGTAAGTCCCGCCAGCTAGAGTGCCTGTCTGCCTACTTGCCCTGCACGCTGCTTGCACGTGCAGCTGCTGGCCTCTGCCCCGAGGGTTAAATCCCACGCTCCGCACACCCTGCCGCAGGTTTGACTTCAATTCTGGTGGCGGCGTGCCACTGAGCCCGCTCACAATGCACGCGGTGGTTGTGTGGGCATCAGGCGTGAACGCCATCGTTTGGATGATGTGCCCTTTTTTCAATTCAGGCGGCAGTCGGAACAATGGCTTCATTCCTTTTGGGTTCACCTCCACCACAGATGCAGGAGTCGTGTGGTCGGGCTCAGTCCTGCCAGCCTACCAGGCAGTCTCGGGTCCTATTGTCCAGCACTATCTCGCTGCCATCGGAGTGGTGTTTGCCAGCAGGTGCGTCCAGGGGAGGCTGCCGTTCGCGTGCTCTCCTGGTGCTTTGCAGATTTCGACTGCTTGACTGGCTGATTCAAATGTCGGACACCGACGGGTGGATGCTCGTGCCTCCCTTGCCATTGCCTATCAGCCCGCCCCCGCCCAACCCGCCGCCGCCGAGTCCACCGCCACCCAGCCCGCCGCCCCCGAGTCCACCCCCGCCCAGCCCGCCGCCCTCGAGTCCAGCACCGCCAAGACCGCCGCCGAGTCCAGCACCGCCAAGACCGCCACCGAGTCCAGCACCGCCAAGACAGCCGCCGAGTCCAGCACCGCCAAGACCGCCACCACCGAGTCCAGCACCGCCAAGACCGCCACCAAGTCCAACACCGCCAAGACCGCCACCGAGTCCAACACCGCCAAGACCGCCGCCGAGTCCAGCACCACCTCGCCCTCCTCCACGACCACGTCCCCCATCCCTCAAGCCCCCCAAACCACGGCCGCCGCCACGACCACATCCCCCATCGCCCAAGCCCCCCAAACCACTGCCGCCGCCACGACCAGGTCCTCCCTCCCCCAAGCCAACCAAAACCCGCTCTCCAGTCCCCAGGCCCCCAACACCGCGCCCGCCGCCGCGGCCGCTCCCTCCATCTCCCAAACCGCCTGCACCACGGCCCTTGCCACGCCCGCACCCTCCATTTCCCAAGCCCCGACCTCCTCGCCCTCCCCCTTCGCCTCGCCAGGCGCCGTCCCAGAAAGCCGCCATTGTCGAGGCCGGCTACTGGGTCGGCTTTAATCAGAAGCGTGCGCGAGTCTGCTTGCCAAGGCGTGCTGCCCGGGTTGTGGCACGGCCCACGTCAGGGCGCTCGCCACGCAAGATGGGCAGCCTCCCCCCCCGCCCTCATGCATGCGCTCCGTACTTCACTGTGTGCAGGTGGCAGGTGGAACTCCCTTCCCCCTGAAGCAAAGCCCGGCCGCTCCCTCGCCCTCTACTCAGATGGCAGCGGCACCAGTTTGACCACCAGCTTTGCCGCCGGCGGCTTCCAAGGCAAGCAGACCTTCATCCGAGGCCTGCGCCTCTCCCGCGGCAGCTCGAGCGTGGAGATGACCCTGGCGCAAGCTGGTGGGCGATGGGTGCTGAGAGGTAGGTGACTGGGAGGATGGCCGAGGTAGGAGGCGCGTGCTCCGGTGCCACCTCAGTGAGTATGTTGCTCCGTTGGTGCAAATCTCTTAATTAAGGGCATGCTTCTTATAAGAAGCATGCCCTGTCCAACCTGGAGCCTGCTGCTGCTGCATGCTTCACAGTGTGGGGAAATGGCAGACTTGTGAGAGGCAGCCAACGGACCTTGCTCGGCAGTGGCGTGGCCGTCGAGGCAAGTGGGTTGGGTGGTTGCGAGCCGCTCGCACTGCGGCAGTGCCAGCTGACCTCTCGTTGCCCTGGGTCTTCGTTGCATGCGCTTGATGAAGCTGAGGCTTGTTGCCGCTGCTCCCCAGTAACTCCTGCTTACCACTAAGTCCTGCTGCACATGTGCTCCCCCTGCTCTACAGCGGGATCCCCTGGCCCGATTTGTAGTGATCACCACACGCCACCTCCAGGTCACTGTCAAGCGGCGAATTCCCTACACACTCGCGCAGGTGGCTGGCCGCTTTCAAAATAGCCAAGTTTTCGCACGATGTGAAATTAATGCGCAGCAGCCTGTTTGCTGTGCAGCGCAGCTCTCACAACCTGCCTCTCCTTTGGGTGCAGTTGCGCGAGCGGCAATACGGCCAGTGGCTGGACATCTTCTTGGCCATCCAGCTTCCGCCGCTGCCTGTGGATGGTCTGCTGGGTGAGCATGCGCTGCTCAGCGGGGCGACGCAACGGTGCTCCTTTGCCTGATGGAGTGCTTGAAGCTGCCGCTTGCGGCACCAAAGACTTCTCTAGGCTGCGTGTCGCAGAGAGCGAGTTGGGTGGCGTTGTGACGTTTACACTGCTCACCACTCCCCACCTTTACCTTTACCTTTACCTTTTACCACTGGATGCCTGAGCTGCACCTCTTGTCTGTGTTGCAGGCGAGACGTACAGGCCTCCCCTGTGCCGGCTCCCACACCCGGCTGCGACACTGCTTCGGTGCCGCATTGCCGCCCCGCCTTAGGCAACCAGCTTGCCGCCAGCCATCGTGCGTATGGGCAGAAGTCAGCCAATGCTGCATTATTGCGCTTTCCTGCAACTCATTGTAACTGGCAACCAGCATATACAGTGTTGCCACCCAGCGGCCGCAGGCGGCCGCTTACGTGGCGGGGTTCAAGACTGTTTCTGAAGTCAATTGCCTAGTGGCAGGGCTGTGTCCGGCGCTGCTGGATCCCATTGCACTGGGGCGCAACTCACGTGACGCTGGTCAGAGTGAGCGAGGCCCCACGTCGGCCATTGCGGCTCCCTGACTGTGCAGGGGGCCTGCCTGGGCGGAGTGCGCCCAGCGGAGCGCGCCTGGCGATCAGCGCCGCCGCATTGGAGCCGCACTGGAGCCGCCTCCCTGCTGCCCGCCTGCCGCCGCCTTGCCGCCAATCTGTCGGTGCCGCTTCTCCCCACCTCCGTGCATCCGCACCCCCATTCACCCGGCTGCTGCAGCGGCCGCACCGCCAGCATGTGGGCCTCTGTGCTGGCCTCTAGGCAGCTCACCACGCTGCAGCTGCGGCTGGAGCCGTCCGGCGTGCTCTTCCTCACCCTCCACCGCCCCGCCGCCTTCAACGCCATCAGCATGGAGATGCTGAACGAGCTGCACGCGGTGTTTGACGCGCTGCAGCACCCCAGCAGCATGCTGGAGGCGCTGCCGCCCGACTTCCCGCGCGTGGTGGTGCTGGCGGGCGCGGGCAGGGCCTTCAGCGGCGGCGTCGACATCAAGGTGCCTAAGGGCAGCCCCTGCCAGGCCCGGCTGGCGCATGTTTGCGCCGCTGCTGCTGCTGCCGCTGCTGCTGCTCCGTGTGTGCGCGGAGGCTGAGGCGCAGCGGTGGCCGTGACACGTGTTCGGCAGCCTGCCGCACACAGGCCGGCCGGGAGAGCCCGTCTCCCCGGCTGAGCCCGCCCGCTTGTCCCGCGCCTGCCGCTCCCACCCGTGCCGACCCCTCCGCACCTGCTGCCTGCCGCAGGCTGCCGACCAGGGCATCGGGGGGCAGGCCTGGGACTACAAAGACATGCGCTCCCAGCAGCTGCTCAGCAGGCTGATTGAGAAGATGCGGGCGGCGCCGCAGCCCATCATCGCAGCAGTACAGGTGGGTAGGCGGGGCGCTGTGCAGGCGGCGGCGCGGCCTCATGGCTGCTTTGCCTTTGTTCGCCGAGGCCGCCGGCCGCGGGCTGGCAGGCAGGCCAGCGCCCAGCCCTGGAGCCGCCTCGGCCCCGCCCGGCCTTGCCTCCATCTGCCGGGAATCCCAGCCCGGGACCTCTGCCGCAGGGCGCGGCGGCGGGCGGCGGCCTTGCGCTGGCCCTGGCGTCCGACGTGCGCATCGCGGCGCGCGGCGCCAGCTTCTCTGCCGCCTTTGTGCGGCTGGGGCTGACGGGGACAGACATGGGGACCTCCTACTTTCTGTGGCGCCACGCGGGGCTGGGGGCGGCGGCGGAGCTGCTGCTGACGGGGCGCCAGATGGGTGCGGAGCGAGCGCACCAGGCGAGCGGCGGTGGGGGCTGGTGGGAGTGGCGTGGGGCTTGCTGGGGGTTACTTACAACCGGGTAGGGGTTACAACCGGGTCAGCAAGCGCCCCTGGACAGATGCGGGTTGCCAACCCGCCGCCTGTTGTCCGGCCGCCCTCTCCACCCCATGCATCCTTGCCGCCTTTCCCCTCCCCTCCACCACAGCACACACCTACACACGCGCCCTGCCCTAGCCCCTTGGCCCCACGCACCCTGCACATGCCACCTCTCCTGCCCCCGCTCTGCAGCTGGGCCTGGTGAATGAGCTTGTGGAGGAGGCTGGGCAGCTGGAGGCAGCCGCGAGGAAGCTGGCAGCTGAGATGCTGGCCTGCTCGCGCCTGGGGCTGCAGGTGCGCGCTGCTGGCTCGCTGCTGCTCCCGGCTGCTGTGCGTGGGCGTGCAAGGTAGCATGTGAAGCCTGTCTTGGCCGTGCAGCCAGCACGCGGCGGCACGGTCTGCTGCCATGGCACGCTGGCGGCCGGCCCACCGCTCCCACCAGGGCTGGCAACCCCTGCTGCCACTCCGCCCCACCCCACCCTCCCCAACCACCCCCCACACCCTTACCACCTCACCCTGCCTCAGCTACCCGTCCCTTCTC